ATGCTTGAATATATCGTGTAGTTACTCATACAATATTTTATTTTTAAGTTTAAAGTGGATATACCCCTCTAAAATCAAATCGAAGATTAGGAATTTTTCCTCTGCTCCCTCTTAAAAGTTTGAAGTATAGAACATTATCCTTCATTTTACACTATTTTTTATATTTTGCTGGTTTTTGTACTTCTTACTGTTTTTGTATGCAATAAAGAATATTTTCAATGTATTAGTACAGGGTATAGTTTCCGTGGCTTAGTTGGCATAGCGTCTGACACGGTTTGTTAGAGACGTTGGTTCGAATCCAGCCGTATCGAAGGATTTTTTTCTAAATACACAATCTTTGTATTAATAATTACTACAACATACTGTTAGGTTCAATTCACAAGTAACGCCGTACTTTTGTGTACAACAGGACACTCTGGACGGCGACATGAAGTCCCTTCGCAAACTTCTTGAAGTCCAAAAGAACGACCTCAAAACGCACTATCAGAAACAGCTGGAAGATGCCGTTCTCGCCAAGTTGCAGGAGTTCCAGCAGCAGTTGGATATCGCCGAAAGAGAAATGGAGAACGACGCAAGAGCGAAAGAAGCGGCGATAGTCGATAGCTACACTAAACAAATTGCCAGGATTGAAGAACAGTAAGACCAAGTGATGTATTTAAAAGTGTTGTGTACATTAACGTGACAAACGACAGACGGCAGTGCCACATACACAACACTTATGCCTCGGATCACAGAATTGAAGCTGTAATATTTATTATCTTATATCAAAAACAGTACCTTAAATGATAAACGCCCAATAGAATTTCTGTGTTTTGGACATCTCCACTACACTTATTTATTTACCTATAGCAGTAATGTCAGCATTACTGTGTTCCAGTTTAGAACGGCGCTGGTGAAATTACAGGCACATGGGACTTGTCAACTTATGTCTCAGGGCGACGGGCGCAGTGGCATTGCCCCTCAGATTTTTGCGATTTAAAGCCCTGAGTGGCACTGCAACTGTTACGGACAGGCGGTGTTGTTTATCATCAGGCGCACGACTTGTTCGTCCCGTCGCTTGATATTATAAAAAAAAATACAACCTATTGTTGCTGAATGGTCAACATGCTGGTCTGCCACGCAGAGGTCCCGGATTCGTTTACCGGGCCGAGAGAAATTTTTGTATGGCCTACTTTTATTTCTCTCGTGAGTTTGGGTGCAATTTGTGGTTGTCTATGTATGTGTCCATGGCACCCGCGACACAGGGTTTCCCTAGTGCGGGGCTATGTTGAGTGTGTGCGTTCAAACACAAAAAATCACAAAGAAATACAAACAAACACAAAAATTCACAAAGAAAAAAAATTTAACCTCATGTTGTGTAATTTATATAGATAATTCAGGATTTTTTTTCAAATGCGGTAGCTCCCCTGAACAGTAACAACGCCCCCCAGTTACCCAAAGTTGTCCTTACCGCCCAAGTGGGCCCCCCAGTAAACCTATGGTTTAGGGCTTAGTCTGCCATACTAGCCCACGTCTACGCCTTTTCCAAAGTTTGAGAATCTTCTTGGACTTTCAGATTTTGTTTCCCTTCACTGTTAGCGAGAGGGATCGAGTATTTATATACTCGATATTGCTACAAATATTCACAAATGTACTATAACTTAGAAAATCAATTTAACATGGCACAATATGACGAAAACCATCTCCTTAGAGAAGATCCGTGGCTTCTGTAACGGCCAAGCCAGGCAATTGACTCTCTATACCCATTTGTTTTAATCTACGTTATCTTTATTTTTCAGGCACAAGCTAGAGATCAACGTTCTAGAAGAGAAACAGAGGGAAGAAATAAAATTGTATCGGCTTCAGCTAGCTCAGTCTAGTGAGAAAATTGGACTACTTGAGGTAACTTGTGATATAAGTTTAAAGACACGCATAACATTCTTACACTGGTGTCACAGCATGTTTAGGAAAGTGTACACTACATTTTCAAGAAAAATAATTAGTTATAAACATAACGGTAATACGAGAAATAAAAATGAACCGGTTCTTGTCGCCTTTACAAAGTTACTAAAACATTTGAGGAGCAATATATACGCTTCTATAATAATATTCCTGTTGATATCCAAAATTCGCCATATACGAAGTTTGAACTATATAGCAAAACAGAATCTTTGTACTGGTTATAATTTTTTTTTATATCACAATTTTTACATACAAGAATTACAAAAATGGCGGCAGTTATCCTAGTTTGGAAGTTTGGCACATATTTGTACCTATCTAAGTGTTTTTTTTTTGCAAGTTATTATTATTATTATTAGTTAGTGCGGTTGATACAGGTAAACTATCTCGGTTATACTCATCCCATGAAATTACGCTTATAATTTTTTTCGTCACACTTGCTCGTAAACAATGTCATGGCATGCAGGCAAAGTCGAACGTAATGTTATAAATTACGCCCACGGGCTTTTTCATTACATTCTCGCCCTATGGAATTTTTATGTTAAGATTAAGCAAAAGTTTTTACGCTCGAAAAATCTGAACGTTTATTTCGCATAAACTTGAAATTTGAAAAAAAAATAAACATTTGCAATTTACCAATATTTTACTATATTGTTTTGTGAATTCTAATTCTGCAGTATTTATAGAATTAGAAATTATTTCTTTTATACAATACATTGTGGCTGCATGCGTCTATACCTTTTATGACATTTTAGTTCGAGTTGTATTATCTATGGCAATCTGTTTAAAAACAAAAAACCCGTCTTTGCAAAATCCGTAAGTGTTGTGTAGTGAAGCGATATTTAGTCATACAAGAAATAAATTGTAGTTGTGTATGTAGCACGGGCGGTAAAAGTACAAACCTTGAGTTATTAAAGCCCTCAGCCTTTGGCTTCGGGTTTCTAACAAACTCTCCTTAGTAATGTCTTATTTACTATTACTATGTATGTTTTTGGAATGCTGTCCCGACAGCAACTCATGTAATTAAAAATGTTTTTTAGAACAAACTAGAGTCTTTCCGACGTCGTCGCGGTCAGATCGCGACGCAACTCCATAGCGTGATGGAGTCGCAGTGGCGGCAGGCGCTGCACATTCTCACCAACGGCAACTCGGCTTCTTCGCTGGACCACACCAGGGCTGACAGCAGTAAGTTCCCTAGAACACTTGCGTAAAGTTAGGTAGGTAGACTATATTTATAGCTTAGGATCCCGGAAGAATGTCCATAAGTCTACAGTATTTTTAAAATACGTATCGTTATAATTCTAATTACATGTGTTAAGTAAGATTTTTAACCGACTTCAAAAAAAAAGGAGGAGGTTATGGTTTGTTTGTTAAGTTAGATAAATCCGTCAATTGTGGACCGATTTTGGAAACTATTTTTCTGTTTCAAAGGGTGCACTCTCATGGTGGTTCCATTGTCACTAAAACAGAATTTGATGAAAATCGAAGGAAATTCTCAAATTTTATAGGCATGTCCGTGTATTCATCAATTTCTCCATGAATTGTGCACCGATTTTGAAAATTCTTTTTTGTTTGAAAGGGTATACTGATGCTGTTCCGGGTTCGTTTCGGCTATCACTAATTACTAATCATTTTCCGCAAATGAAAATCCACTTTTCACCATGACAACCAAAAAAAAGCATAAAATGTACAAAGGTGTCCGTAACGTTCCCATTGTCGCCAAGAATTCAGAATCTGATGAGAGGATCCTTGATGAGGACATTTTTTTTTTCAATGAAAAAGTTACAATTATTGTTAAAATTATCCGAAAAATTGATGGTTGCAAAAACTCGCAAAATTTTGATAAATACAGTCTACCTACCTGCCCCATGTAACGTCAATTTTTAATGAATTTAATTGATTTCTCCTATCCCGAAAAAAATCGGGATTAGAAATGGTCGTAAGATAGCCGATTTCGTTCTTTGTTCCTCGGAGTTTAGACAAATATTATACTATACGTATTCCGATCATTATTAATTACGTAAGAGTGTTAAAAAAAAAAAGTGTTGTAGCTGCCAGATCCAAGTAGTAGATATAGAGGATCTCGACGAGCTCGTAAAATGAGAGACGATTTAAGTTGAGTGTATGTACATGGCAATAAGTTACTGGTTTACAGGAGTAGTGCCATTAATCGGCCTACGTAATGTGCCCTTGACGAGCCTTTACTTATTGCTTCGCAAGTTACATTAAATTTTATTGCGAAAATTCTGTTGCGTTCGCAACAAGTGCTTATCATCGACAAGTGACAAATTTTGGTAAAAAATTAACACTCCGAAAAGAAGCCTACTACATCGTCTTCTTCTCGCAAATAACTTTGGGGCAATACGGAGCCTATTATGGTCTAGTAAAGAACCAGTCAGGTTTCATGCAGTTTACATGTGGTAAAACCGAATTAATTAAATTTTAAAATTTGTGTCCTGAAATACATTTTAAGTATTGTCTCTGGCCCGGTAACAACATCGCCTAAAGTAGGTACTCGAGACGTGAAGTTATTCGACAAATAGGAGTTAAGTATCGAAAAAAGGTGAACGGCATTTGAATAGAAACTGCCTCGTTTTCGTGAGGTCGTAGCAATAAGAGAGCGCGCGAAGTAAACGGTGGGAAACCCAACGCAGCCGCGTCGACGCCCGTGGCGCAGGACTACGGGCCGCCCAAGATCCCGCCGCTGACGATGCCGCCGTTCCTGGCCAAGGGGCTGCAGCGCGCCGACGCGCCGGGCGGCGAACGCGCGCTGCCCTTCGAGGCGCTTAGCGACCACGAGCTGCAGCAGTACGTCAAGCTGGTAAGTCCTTTTCTGTCCTACAGCCTCGGGGCCGAACGGGGAACGCCTCTTAATTTACTTTCACATAATCGTTGAAAGTTCAACGCCATCAATACCTATTTATTGCAAGTTACGACCTTTCGATTTTATATTGAGACTTCAATCAATGTGCTGCCATCTAACGGTTAATAGCTGAACGACAATGAATTTGAAATGTGTACTTAGTTGTCCAAAAAAGAAGCGGCTAACGCTAGAGCTTTATTTTCATTTCTTGTAACAAAAAAATTACTACGATAACTGAAACTAATGGTAACGAAAACTGAAAATGTATTAAAATTAAACAAAACCTATTGATCACACACTACCATAGATAATAATTACGAGTGCGAATATCATGTTTACGTTCCAAAGTAGCTCACTACTTCGCTTATTTCGCTATATTTCTACGATTTTCAAGGTTTTGCGCGAGATAATTGTCACGACCATAACGTACAAAGCGAAAATGGCGGACTGATCTAGTTCGCGGCACTACGCGAACTGTTGACACCTGTACCACGCAAACTAAGCACTTCTACTGTATTTATTGTTCCGTGGTTAACATTAACCATGTACACATACGCAGTCCTTTCAAGAAAAAATCACGTAACGATCTTCAATAAAACCAACAGATTTGAAAATTTTATGTTGTCAGACCTCTTAACAATGTAATCGTCATTTTCCGTAAAACTCTGCTTCTTGAACTTCACAGAATTAAACTATAATGCTTTTTGTAATTTCTCACCACTGTCCCGACATTTTGAAACAGTTACATGATAATTATTTATTGTATAACCATGAAGATCTTAAAAACTTTAATTAATGTTTTGGAAAATAAATGTGATAATCCCTTTTGCCTTTCAGCTACTGACGAAACCGCCGAACCTGGACGGCAGCGGGGACAGCGCCGCCCCGCGTGACATCACGGAAGAGCCCACCAGCGACCGGCCACTCGACAAAACCAAACCCAAAAGGAGCTTCTCCAGTAATAAACCGCCTTGGAAGGCATAGCACAGGGTACTTCGTACACGTAACAAAAAACAGGGCAACACCAAGAGAAAACATCTATACATTTGATTATGATGAGTTACAACTTCCTAACCACGGTATGACTTTGGCTTCTTTCTTACCACGATACGACTTTTAGTTTCTGACGACGGTATGAGTATTAGTTTCTTTCTAACCACGGAATGACTTTAGCTTCTTTCTTACCACGATATGACTTTTAGTTTCTAACCACGGTATGACTTTAGTTTCTTTCTAACCACGGAATAACTTTACTTTCTTTCTTACTACGATATGACTTAGTTGCTTACTTAACACGATGTGACTTTTGATTCTTTCTTACCATGGTGTGATTTTTGTGTCAAGCTCACGGGTTAACAGGTTTAAGCGCCATTCATTAGCTTACTTGCTGACTGTGTGATTTTTAATCGTTTGTTAACTTTGAATATTAAACTCAGATATTACAAATTGATTTAAACTCTCGTGTAACAAAATGTGAAAAATTATGTTCTGGTTAAGTGTTTCGCACAAAGTTAGTTAGTGTTCAAACGTAGTGCTTTTTAACCTAAGTTTTATAACAATTTAATTTTTGTTCAATAGCTTTTTCTAAACAATAATAAAGGATCCCTCCCTAGAACAAAAGAGACGGCTCAAATTAGATAATACAAATTGTTAGTAACTACGTAGTGGTATTATTATCAAAATCTCGCCAATTGACATACGTCAACCCAGAGTTTAGAAATCGGAATATTTTAAATAAACCAGTTTGTGAATTGCATTCCCGTTGGATATAGTATAATGTTGACCGTTAACCTTTGTTCGTTCAGTCACTTGATATTATAAGAAAAAGAAAGACAAGACCAGCAGAGAACGGTGGTGGTATGCACTTTTATTTCTAAGTAAAAATCCATGAAATAATTACAGCACAAACACAGTACACACAATATTTAATATAGTTTTATGATTTAATACATATTACAATACAATTAGACACAAGGCTTATTAATAAATAACTCTACTTAGTAACTAAAGTCTAGTAGTAAAACTAAGTCGACTGTAATGTCCTAAATTATGCCCACGGGCTTTTTCATTACATTACCGTCCTAGTTTTATGCTCATAAATCTGAATTTATTTCGCAAAAGCTGCAAGTACAGAAAAAAACTAAACATTTGCAATTTAACTAAATTTATTATGTGAATTCAAATTCTGCAGAATTTTTAGAATTTCGAAATTATTTATTTTATATCTAATACATCGTGGTTGCCTTTATAACATTTAAAAAAAGAAACCCGCCATTTACAAAATCCGTAAATGTTGTGTTATAAAGCGATATTTATTCATACAAGAAATAAATTATCGTTGTACCTATTTCCTCGCAAATGTAATGAAAAACATCATATGTCGTACGGGCGGTAAAAATCACAAACTCGAGTTATTAAAGCCCTCAGCCTTTGGCTTCGGGTTTCTAACAAACTCTCCTTAGTAATGTCTTATTTACCGCCCTTCATACACAATGTACTTTATGTAACAATATTGGTATAACGGAGTGTGCGCTGTGCTTAATGCCGTCTCACTGGAAGGTGATTATCACCCCGTAACCGCGTCACGGAATACAGCAAGCGTATTTAACTAAATAGATATCATCATTAGGTAGCATCTCAATTAGGTTTTGGAAAACGGCATTGCACAAAAGGTTGAAGTGCGCGTCACGCACTACTGGCACCGCTTAATCAAGTCTTGTAGATTGTAATGTGGCGTCCGCAGCCTCCACACATCTTGCTTAGCGAGTTTAAAGTTCAAAATTCAAAAGGAAAAAGAAATAGTGAAAATTAAGAGCACAAGAGTTTTTGGTAACTGGTAAACGGGTCAATAAGAAGTATAGTTATGGGCCACAAGGGTCAAGGTCACTCAGCGAGCAATGGAGAGAGCTATGCTCGGTATTACGTGATTTGACGGTGCCTATGTGAGTCAAACTCAAACTCAAACTCAAAATAATCTTTATTTCATAGGTAAGCATTATTACACTTGAAATCGTCACAATGGTTAAACTCTACCGCTCATTCGTAAGGCAGATTCCCCTGAGAAGAATGAGCAAGAAACTCTAGGGGTTGCTCTTTGTAAATAGCATTTACAATATTTTTTTATTTTTATTTGAAACATCAGAGATCGAGACTACCTCCATGAGCTAAACGGGTTACTACCACGGATTTTTGTCATCCAAGTACGCAGAAGTTGTATAATAACCTTTAGTACAAAGTTTCTGTTTCACTATAGTTTTAAACCTCGTGAAAGGCAAATTTTGTATATCAACCGGAATCTTGTTATACAAGCGTATACATTGCCCCTTAAATGATTTTTTGACTTTGTGAAGACGACTATCAAGAAAAGCTAGTTTATTTCTATTCCTCGTATTAATGTTATGTGCAAAGCAAAATGCCGTATGTCATTGACTGTGAAAGTAACTGAAGTAAACCAATCTAGCGGTTTCGACGTCTGAAAGTTTCCTTATTTTTTTAATCGCGTACACTGCAGAGCCGAGCCGTTTTGATAACTTACTTATATGGGGACCCCATTGCAATTTAGCATCTAACGTTATACCTAGAAATACAACTGTATCCACAAGATTCAATTTTTCGTTTCTAACTACAATGTTTGTAACCGTCTCTCTAACATTGGGTAATGTAAATTTCACACAATTTGTTTTTTTCTCATTAAGAAGTAGGTTATTAACAGCAAACCAATCAATTACTTTAGATATAGCATTGTTCACATCGTCATAGGAACATTGGTGCCTTTTAACTTTAAATAATAGGGAAGTATCATCAGCAAACAATACTATCTCATGTTTTATACTCTCCATAAGGCTAGGTAAGTCATTAATATAAACTAAAAATAAAAATGGGCCTAGAATTGAACCTTGAGGGACACCCATGCTAATTGCAGATCCTGACGATCTCGTACCGTTAACATCGACCCTCTGTACCCTACCACGTAAATACGATTTAAGAAGGTCGAGATCACGTCCCGCCACACCATAATGGCGAAGTTTCCTGACCAGTGTATCATGGTGCACACAATCAAAAGCTTTGGAAAGGTCACAGATTACACCAAGAGTGAATCAGAAATGAGGACATCCGTAGGAGAACTAAGGTAACCGACATAGCTTGTTCAGCTGTAGTGGTAGTGGGCGGGGCACATAGCTAGGAGACCCGATGGCCGGAAGGGCGGAAAGGTACCGACGATCTGGTAAAGGTCGCGGGAAGCCGATGGATGCGGGCAGCGCAGAACCGATCATCGTGGAGATCGTTGGGGGAGGCCTATGCCCAGCAGTGGGCGTCGTATGGCTGAATGAAACGGGTCAAAATTAGACGAGCAGCACTGCTCGCTACAGCGGTTGAGCAGGAAGTGACGTCGGAACGAAACAAGATGAGAATGACGACACAAAGGAATTAAAATTTGACAACAAGTGGCCAGAAATCAGAGAAAAGATGATAAACAGGCGGACTGACGATGGAAGGAGGTCGCATCGTCACAAGTTGTTGTTCATAATGTTAGTAATGTAGTCGTGCGTGGTTGTTAGTGTTTTGTAAATAACCCTATTATACATAGTTTGTAAAGAATTCTAAAATGTAATTATTTTTCTTACTAAAAAGAGCACAGCTCATAATGATAATTAAGTATTTATTTATTTATTTATGTATATACTCACGCCAACAACTAAAGGGCTCGTGTGAATCGATAAAAAAATTAAATTTCCGACTTTTTAAATACATTATTATTTGATCTAAAGATTCTTTTTAGCTGTCTTTTTTTCCACGTTAGCTCTATATATTTCTTTTGTAATCTTTGTCCACGCCATATCTATAAACCACCTGCACATACCGTTCTCAATTTTTATTTAAATTTATTAATTTATAGCATAGCTACAGAATACAAAATGTCATGTTGTTTAAAGTTAATATGCATTGCAAAAGGAGTAAAGCATTCCTATGGCTACCACACACGGCATTTGCGAAGTAAATAAATCTTACAAATTAATAAATACTCGTATAGAGGAAAAATAGTACAAATCATATTGGATCACCAATAAGATTTTTAAATATCTGCCATATAACGATTGGGAGAATATGTCCATTTATTATTTATATTTTTATTTTTGTACGAAAGTAAAATCTGACGAACGAAGTCATGGAACAAAAGTTGTTGTTCATGAAGTTAGTAATATTGTCATGTAAGGTTGTTAGTATTTGAAAAATAATCCTGTATATATAATACAATATTATAAATATCTCATTAAGATATTATTTTGAAAATTACTACTTTTAGTTTAAGAGTTTTATTGTTTTGGATTTTTGTTCCATCGTTACATTTACAATAATAGTTTAAAATAAATAGGTAGATAAATAAAAACTTTATACACCACCCTGATAAAAACAGTACATAGAAGCGGATTTTTGAATGCAGACAGGAAAAGGTGTGCGGTTAATTCTTATAGTCCAGCTTCACGTGCTCTTGACCTGTACGGTATATAAACGTACTCTCATACCCAAAATTACAAGTACTTTTACTTACAAACGTTTTTTTGTAACTTTTTAAGTTACAAAAAAACTTTTTTCCGTCAACTTTTCTAATTAACGTAAATAAATAGTAAATTATAACAATACTAGTACATAATCGTAATTAAAAAAATTGGTAAATAAGCGATCGAGAAAGATTACGTATCGCTCGGTGAAGCGGGGTCACTGCCCTTGCGTGCATACGACTTGGAGACAATTTTGCAAAACTTTACTAGATACAATTCGACAGAATATTGAACAGAATAATTTTTTAAATATTTTTAGATGATTTAGCTTTATTTCTATTACTAATTTCTTAAATATGGCGAGAATGCAAATCAACACATTGTATATATGTACATATTTAATTTGAAGACTAAATTGCTGATTAATGGAGGTAAAAATTAAGGTCATTTCTATGGTAGATTTAGTAAGGTGACATCGGTTGTTAGTAATCGAATGAATGAATGCCATCAGTGCTATTTCACTGACACTCTATTGAGTGTCAACTGCCACTGCAACTACATTTTAGCAGAATAACAAATATTATAATTATATTACAATTTCAGGGGAGTTTTAATGGAATTGATGACCATTGATTTCAAGAATTTTAGCATAAATTGAGGCCCCGGATAATAGTAAAAATTCTTTAACGTTTTTTTAAATCCATCAGTATATAATAAATATGGCAACATTTTGTACCCATGGTGTAATGGTGTAAAAGTGTCTTTACAACCTCAAATGGCTTTGGTTTATTCCGTAAAACAGTGAAGTGTTGAATTAATCGCTTTGGAAAACATATATAGTAAAATTGAGGATGTACACCATTGACTTACAAATAAATGGACGACGGGTCTAATACAAAAACCACGAAAAAAATGTCCCAAGTCAACCTATTTAAACGTAGTGACATGTAAAGGAATATGAAAAAGCTAAAGCGTTGAATTTAAATTGTAATGTCATCGCAGTACTGTCTAATTTTGCTTGCTTCGCTGTCAGTCGAACAAACGAAGACTAAAGCGTGAATGACGCTCTGTATACGATTTTAACGCCCTATAAGTTCGGACATTTTTTAGCGCGGACCCGACGTCCATATAATTGTAAGTCAATGATGTACACTGATTAACTATACCGTGTGAAAACACGATTCTTAAAAATGTTCGCGATAGAAAAAAATCAAACTTACCTCGAAATTTGACAAGAAATTCAAGAGGTACTTTACATATATCACTGTTTTTTTTATATCAACTGAACTAAATAGAATATGTATAATGTACAATATAAATTTTTCAAAAGGTATTAATTTCGTTTGTAAAAAATTAAATTCTGAAAAAAGCCAGTGTCCCAAGCAAAATTAACCGTAATAGTACAGGAAGAATTTGAATACGAGCTTAGGTAGTATTAACTGTTAAATATTCTACGAGATAATTAAGATTATTTATTCGGAAAGTTAGAAAATTCCACATATACGTAAATTCGAAGTTCGACGACGTACGAAAGTTCGTGTCTTTTCGTTTTTATAATTTTCACGTTATAAATAAATTTCGAAATGACTAATTAAAAATTGGACTGCAGATTAAATAAGGTCATATCACTCTGTGTGTGACCTTAAAGGTGAAGGATATTTTTCGAAAGAAATAGTTTCATTTTCAATGTCAAGCAATTGCGAATACCTGAGAACTAGATATTATTATTTGTATATTTACAGAGTCGAACCCACCAATTACGTATACATATAGTTATTTAGATGTTAAGGTGCTGGGTAGCCTGTTGTGTCTTAATATATTGTTTTATTGTAAGGCAAATATAGAAATAATTTTATGTATATTGTTATGAAATAAACAATATTTTATTACATCACTTTTGTACGTTAAAAAAATAAAATTTAGTTTTTTTTTGTAAATGTGTTTTATTTTGTACATTATAAGGATAAACACTTATATGTGGAAATGGGCAGTGGGTTAAAACCCAATCAAACCCGCCCGGGATTTTAACCAAATGGGCGTGTTTTAATTCATTTCTGCCTTAAAATTGGCGGCAGAAACGGCGAATATGGAATACGGAATAAACTCGTACTTCATTTTTTATTGAACTGATATTCAATTATTTTTTATGTGAAGTTACTCCACTAGTTATAATTATTAATACAAAGATCGAACACTCAGAAAAAATTCCTTCGATCCGGCCGGATTCGAACCGACGTCTTCTAGCATACCGTGCCAGACGCTATACGAACTAAGCCACGGAACGAACCAGCGGACCTCACGAATTTTTCTATGTGCTTGCGTCGTATCTTTGTATTTTGGTTTTCCAACGACTTTTTAGCCGTAGCGCCATCTATGAGAAATCTATATTTCGTCACCCGGTTAAAAATTAACCTTTACAGCTACCAGGCCCGGCTAGAGATGTCGCTATTCATTGTATTTAAATTTCGGTTCGAATCTGGCCGGATAGGAATTTTTTCTGAGTGTTCGATCTTTGTATAATTAATTCCATACTTATTACAAATTTCGATCTAAAAAATCGTTTTTAGGCGGAAATGAGGCAACTCCTCACAATATTCACCTTACAACCCTGTCGATTCTCACAGGATGCACAGTACGATTCAATGTTTACGAAAATCGATTCCATAATCACTTGGAATCTGACGATTTTTTTATATCGAATATCTTCAATGAGATTTTCAAGCGAATAGATTCAATAGAAAGGCAAATGTTGATCTTCTTGATCAGAAAGCAATAAACCTTTTGTAATAATATCATTAAATTTGAACAAAACTCGATTTACAACAAATATTAACTTTTAATAGATTTTGCCCTCGATTATGGACATTAATGAGTTGTAACCATGGCATTAACAAGGTGCCGAGATAAAACCCGGGCACTTGCCCATCTCTGACTACATGGGATTAAATATTGAATCTAATTGCCTAACAATATTAATTCATCGCTAATTTCGGCGAAACTCGCCTATTTGCTTTCTTTACTTGTGTTTACGTCTTCTTTTTCCCATATAACTCATACTGAATAAAATAATTAAGTACGGTAAAAAGGTCACGTTTCAGTATGGACATCGCGCTGGCACTCATTACGTCACCACCGCCGGTAACTAAGCGATCCTGCTCAGCAGACTCGCTAAAACTCTAGGCTGAAACTCAAATATCGTCTCTGAATTTCAGCCTTAGGGTGGTATTCTAGAACTCTACTCAATGCTCAGTCAGGACTTGAGTATGGTTTAAAGCACTCGAAATCATACTCAAGTCCCTGCCATTAGGGTCGTATTTCCAGTGCTTGAAATCATACTCGAGTCTGCTCAAATCCTGACTTGAGCATTGAGTACAGTTCTGGAATACGACCATAAGATTGTGTTCAGCAGTAGGGTATTATTTCATAATGTACGTTCTATTACAATGTGTGCAATCTGCATAAACTGTCTTGATTCTTTCTTTCAAAATTGTATTATTTTTTAACCGACTTCAAAAACAGGAGGAGGTCCTCAATTCGATTGTATGTATTCACTAGTTTGTTATAATTAACTGCCTCCGTGGCCGAACGGTTACCATGCCGGACTGCCACGCAGAGGTCCCAGGTTCGATTCCCGTGCCGGGAGAAATGTTTGTATGGCTTACATTTATTTCTCTCGTGAGTTTGGGTGTAATTTGTGGTTGTCTATGTGTGTGTCCATGGCACCCGCGACACAGGGTTTCCCTAGTGCGGGGCTATGTTGAGTGTGTGCGTTATTTATTATATGTAAACACTTTATTGCACAACAAAACAAATTTTAACAGTTTTAAGTACCTATGTTACGCAATTGTTGTCAACCGATTTTGACGATTTTTTTTTTCTTAGAACGAAGATAATATTCCATCTGTAAGGGTGGCAAATTAGGGAATGATCCGGCTTATTCGATATCACTCATTTTCCGTTAAACAATTTCAATAAAACTTGGCAAATAGATGTAATTTAACGAACTTTTGAGGTCGGTTTTTTTCTGAAAAGTTATCTAGTTATTCTGCAATTTCGTGGCACAAACACTAAGCGATAAACTTAAATGTGCGACTAAAAAAGTCAATAAATGAAAAACAGTCTTTATTTATTTAAATATAACGATTTATTTGATAGAGGTCAATAAATGCTAGTTAAAAATATACATACATTTCTTTTCATTATATCATATTACAATGGCATCGTGGTTTTTATAAAAATTTTTATAAAATAAAATTTACACTTATCCGTTATTCGATCACATTATATGATTCAAGGCAAGAAATAACATTAAAAAAAGCACGAAGCGATTTCAATGAAAAATGGCGAATAATTTAAAAGTATAAACCAATCTCCCAGAGAAATTACTTTTCTCAAACATGCTCGGAAATATTTGTGTGCGAGACTTAATTTTTTTCTGCTATTATTATACATATTTATACTTAAGTTTTTTATTATTACCTCGCATTGTTTGAGAATAAAGATGGCGAGAATCGGCATTGCTTAACTCGTAGAACTCTCACTCATCAAGCAATCCCTACCCTTGATTTGTTTGTATTTGAATGTTCTAAAAAGTTTTTTTCTGGATGTCGCTTAAACATTCTTATTACGATATAGGAAAATGCAAAAGAAAAATTGAAAAATAACAGAATACACACAGCCTACATAGAAATAAATAAATAAATAGATTCGACATTGAAAATTCGATAGTCCATACATTTCTGTTTTACCATGGCTTAATGTGGGTAAATTTCGCATTTGTCCGATGGTACCACTGATCAACCCCAGGTGCAGACCGCAGGCGCCACTGTAGATATGAATCATGGCGACTTTAATCTGAATCTGGCGCAATAAACGCGTATAACTGAAAGTACTTCAAAAAGTAGCTCAATCGTCATAGCTGTTTTACACAATCTTGAAATGTATTTTAATTTAATTTCAGTCGTATTTTTCTGCTACATATCGCACCTTCGATAATAAACTTGTAATTCGAAAAGCAAAATTTTTGGGAAAAAAACCTAAGAAATAAAACTTTCTATATAAAAAATACATCGTTTCCCACTAGCCAAAGACATTGTCGGCAAGACTCGTTCTCCTACCGTTAATTTTGTAAATTTTATGTCCACAGTTTTCCAAAAAGTTTTTCTTGGTCATTAAGTCTCTTTATTATAGAGGGTGCGAATTGCCTTTTACCTGACTCGTTAGTCGATTTAGATACGTAGATAACGTCTTTAGATAACACCTGTATAGGTAACAATATTCAATTGGCTAAACACTACTTCTAGCTAAATAATTTAAGATAAAAAATAAATTCATAGTTTGTTCTGATATTCTTAATATTATTTGAAGGAAAAACCAAAACTTATTCGGACAATCATGTTTTGGGAGATATTCAGAAATCAGCGTCTTTGTGGATTTGAAACACACCGAGATTAGTGACAAGTTTATTGGGCAACAGAATATACACGTGGTAAATTTTCTTCCATAGATTAAAAGTAATATAGCGCTTTTTCCATAATTTTTTGACCTAAACTACCACATATTGTCCCTCTTCTAACTGTAGTAAGGATCGAAACACAAATTTTACGTTACGCGATAACTCCGGTATTTGTGAACCGATTTTCAGGATTCTTTTTTTGTTGGAAAGGGGGTACTTCCATAGTGGTCCCATTTCATTTTGAAGAAAATCATCCACCTCGAAGGGTGGCTGCTCACGCATGAAGATTCATTTTTATAAATAGCGCCTAACTTTAATTTAGGAGCAATTACTTTAATGGTTGATTTTGCTATTTCTCCAATTCAAGGCGTTTTTCTCTCAATATACTTTGCGTAATGAGAACCTATTTTTATTATCTCCAGTGTCAAGTCCTGTATAGTGGCGAACTAGGGGATATTTCAATAAAACTTAGCAAATACACGTAATTCCACGTACTTTTGAGGTCGATTTTTTTAGTACTCTGTACTGATTAAATACTCCACTAGTTTGTTATTATTATTATTGATATAAACATTGAACAAACAAAGAAAAAATCTCTCTATCCTATTGAATTTGACCCAGCGTCTGTTTGTCACACCAGGGCCCACCCCGCTCCACCGCCGGTGGTGCTTACGCCAAAATTAATTACGCCTTTATTAGTTTCAGCTCATAATGAACATTTAAAAAAAATATTACAAGGTATCAGACAGAAAGAAAACAGACTACTTATATTTCATATTAAACAGGAATTAATTGATATCCACTGCTATTTAATAATACGCTATCTAGATATAAGACCGGTTTTTGATACAAGTTATTGGTACATGGTGAGGACAGTGACAATATAGAAGCACTATGAGCTCCTATTAAAACAAACCCTATGCTCAAGTATTTCAAATCCGATAAAGCTTAGTTTGTGTTCTAAATTAGAAATTTTAATTTTTTTCCTACTTAAATCACGCGCGAATGTAAACAAATATTTTGCAATATTTGGAACGATATTAGAATCTGCCTAACTATGTAGATTTGCACAATGGATGCCGGTTTTTCTGATATGTGCGAATACGGATACTTGATGGCACATCCCGGAACTGGCTTGACCTTGACCGCGTCTCAAACCTGTGATTGGTCGAGATCGATCCCCTCCCGCATCTCACAAACCATGCAAAGGCGGAGTAACGCAGTCAAATATAACAGAGCTGATGTATTATCTACGCCAGAGCGGAGGCAGGCAGCGAGGAATGCTTCGGCTTGGCTTTATGAACGAACACTTTGATGCACCCGTTGAAGTCTGCGCTCACTAGCACGTGGCCCGTCTGCGAGGAGGCCACCATGCTGCTTTCTGCGTTCTGCTGGAATTAAAAAAAAATTCTTTACAATTATTGTCTTAGCGGTGGAGCCCAGTGGAAGGCTGGTAATTTGACGACCTCAGTGACTCAGTGGTTTGCATTGTGTGCACTGGATAAGGAGGTCCTGAAATCGATTTCCGGCAGGACAAATTTGGGAAATGAGCTTAATTGGTTCCGGTCTGGGTGTTATTGGAATTCCCTAGTTTGAGACCAGGGGTGTACACCTGGGACCTTACCATGAACTCTTATTACGATTCAGTCTAGACCTAAAATGAATCGTTGTGAGACAGCACTCCATGAAGTGTACATCACTATCCCGCGTTTTTGTCGTTACGAACCTATACTGACATGTAATAAGAGTTCATGGTAAGGCCCCTGTTCTACGTCCAACATCCGTCTGTAACAATTACTGACAAATAAGTGATACACGATCAAAATAAAAGATGCATGATGCGAATGGCGCTTCGTACTTGACGTTATTTTTTGATGTGGTAGAGTATAACTTATTTAATAGTAATTGTTTGGGTCGGACGGAGAACGGTAGAAGACACCCAGGTGTGATTGGCTGGCACATTATTATTAATTTCTAAGTTGCGCACATTTGTGAATGAGTAGTAAGCAACACCTCACATTATATATCGACACCAGAAGTATCAATTAATGTAAGGCACAAACCACGGTTTTTCAGGAGAGCCAAAAAACGATTTTGTTTTTTTAAATTTATAACTATTTACTCTAATGTGTCTAGAGCAAAGTTTCTTAGAATTTCCTCTTCTTTCATGCTATAAACGAAAGATTTAGGAATGCCTAGTGGTTTAAAATACAGCATGTCCTTACATAAAAAAAATGTCGATGTTCTAATTCTATTGCAAAGGATTCTTTACAAATAAAATTACGTATAATTTTTATATTACGGGACATGCCATATTTTAAACCACTGGGCATTCTTAAATTTCAATAATACCAATCGATAGAGCGGGAACTTCCGAAACCGATGTGTGTGCGAATGATATATGTAACTCATTTTCGACAAAATGTCCCTTACCTTAATTGATACTTCTGGTGTCGATATGAAGGAAAGCATCGCGACAAAAACTTGTCGAAAACCGTTCACCGTTCGAAAAGTGTCCGAACTTGTAGGGCGTTAAAATCGTATACAGAGCGTCATTCACGCTTTAGTCTTAGTTTGTTCGACTGACAGCGAAGCAAGCAAAATTAGACAGTACTGCGATGACATTACAATTTAAATTCAACGTTTTAGCTTTTTCATATTCCTTTACATGTCACTACGTTTAAATAGGTTGACTTGGGACATTTTTTTCGTGGCTTTTGTATTAGACCCGTCGTCCATTTATTTGTAAGTCAATGTCGAAAATGAATACAATGTTTGATTTAATGTTTTAGTTTTATTTTACCTGAAAAATATAAATCACGCCGTTTTCGGTGTTCTGGCAATTTAAGCACTAGCCTAGTGGGGACCAGAGTGGAAGAGCAAATAGTAATATTTGACAGGTTCACAAACAGAAGAGTCTATCCGTAATCAATGTTTCATCCAGTCTGGTCGGTCGATACATGTGTACCCACTAATAGCAATTATAAATAACATGGATCAATCACTCTAAAGGACTGCTAACCGCGATACAAAACAGCGTAATCGGGTATTTAGTACCTATTGGTGGGATCCCTACTTGAGATCGAATGCCGTTTGACCAAACATTAGGTAATTGCTCGAAAACGTTGCCACATCGATGTATCATAATCAAAAGCCAATATTTTTCTCAACATTTCAAGGTGTGAAAACTCCTCTGTGGCCGTAGCATGGCAGAATATGTGTGACAAACCTCCTCGCGACAATATTTATGTCAGTTGATACATTTAAGTTTGCTTATTTGGTAATTAACTATTGTTATACATTTTGAAGAACAAGGACAACGATATAAAATTGCGTAAATTGTCCAATAATTTTTAAATGGGACTGTACGGGGAAATACGAAACCATAGAAGATACAAGCAAACTGTTTTAAGAACTGTTAAGTTTTTTATTGTGATAATAAATTTGGTATATTCAATATTTTGGTCAAACGCGAGTTGTCCATAAAAATGAATAAAATCCCCTATTGGTACATCAGATGTCGCGACGAGTACCAAACAGCTATTTTAGTAACTAATTTATATTACATTGACAAGTTGCAATTAATCAAAGGTACTCTAATTTCTAGTGATAACAAACAAGTCAACTAGATGGCGCTTATTGCACAGATTATTTTCCAGTTTAGGATTAGCGCCATCTACCACATTAGGAAGCGTTAATTTATAAATTAATTTGTAACATACAATGCCATCTAAGGACACGCATATTTGTCGAGTACAGAAAACCAATTTTAGCTCATGAATATTAAAACGAAAAAAAAACTGAGTCCTAACATTTTACGTTAAAGAGCTATTTACCTAACGTAAAGTAGTTCCAGCTACCGACCAGCGCCACCTAGATCCAAGACGGTCCGTGGTACGCCGATTGGCAGTCCCTAGCGAGAGTACTCACGGCCTGGTCGGCGTCGGCCCGCAGCCGGCGCCTGGCCTCCTCCTCGCGCTCGAGGATCAGGCGGATGGTGTGGTCGGGGTTGGGCGCGAACACGGCACACGTCACCACCGCGTTGTGCGCCTTTATCCCTGCACCCGAGACGACACTTTGTAACTCCCACCGGCTTCGAACGAGTTTCGAAATACACATCGACCGTGAACTGGCAACCGGTACTATCTCAGTTTTGACAAGTTTACATTGACTTTACAGGTGAAGAAAAAAATTGTTTGCGTCGTTTACATAGCATCTGGTTTATTAAATAAAAATACGTAGTGTATGTGTAATAAAAATATTTAAAAACGACGTATTTTTATTTAATAAACCAGATGGTATATAAATGACGCAAACAATTTTTTTCTTCACCTGGAACGTCAATGTAAAGTTGTCAAAATTGAGATAGTACCGGTTGCCAGTTCACAGTCGATATCTCGTCAAATCGAGGATCTCCTTGAAAAAGGTCGGCTTAAAACTATCAAGGACATCCCCATATCTTTCTACATTCGTTTTAATTACAGTTGCGGTCGAGGGGTTCAGTAATAAGTGATAGAAAATACGCTCGAGCCACTTGAATTTATTGTAGAAGTACCTATAACAGGGAAAAAGGTGAAGAAAGGAAGGACAGATAAAGTTAAGGCTGTAACAAAAACAGGTAGGTATAAAAACAGGCACAACAATTTAAAAATACTACGGATTAGGAGTTATTATTTTATTATTATATGATTAGTAAACTTACAACAAAAGGGTATTTAGATGATAGGAGGATACGGTCTTTCCTCTTCAAGAATTTTGATAGAAGTGGCGACCGGACGAAACCATAAGAATGTTGTATAGATAAGACTACATTTATAGTCTAACTGCAGCATGTGGTGCGTATTGCTAGGTTAGCAATTAATTTTGTTTTATTTGAAATTATATATTTTGTCCCTTATATTCTGGAGGCCCAACAATAAACATGTCGGTTATAATTATTAATACAAAGATCAAACATTCAGAAAAAATTCCGTCGATCCGGCCAGATTCGAACCGACGTCTTCTATATCAACTAAGCCACGGAACGTTGTTGTCGTATCTTTGCATTTGGCTTTTCAACGATTTTCAATTTGTCTTGTATGATGAGGCAGAAAAAAATTAGAGAACGATTCAAAATTTCGAAAGTAAGAGAAAAGTGTGACAAAAAGGTGGCAGCACGATGAAGGAGGTTGATCGTCGCATCGTCAGTTAGTGATTCTCCCTACCGACCCTTAGGGTATCCGAGAAAAGCTCTATAACCTGTGCGTGCACAGGAATCTTCTAAGTTCAGGTTGTGACCCCAGGTCGGCCAGTGTACAGGGTTGTACAGTACAGAATACTACCAAGAACAAACTGGCAAGTATGAAGAGGCAGATGGAAGTAGAGGGGCGAAGGAGGTTTGTCAGGAGCGTAGCAGATGGAGATTCCATGGCCTCTGCTTACCTCGGTGGGAGACATGTATGTATAATATACTATACGTATAGTAAAAAAAACAAGCAAAAATATTAAAAGTGAGAATAAAAAATATTTGAATTCCATATCGAATTTAGGTAGAGTATAGTTCGAAAACTCACCTTCCCAATAATCATTCCTGTCTCTCCTGGCGCTAGAAAACTTAGAATAATCATGATAGGCCTTCCAAATGTAGATGCACTGGTTTTCGGACCCGCTAACAATGTACTTCCCGTCGTGAGAGAAGGACGCTTTGATCTGGCTGGACACGTTCACGTATCCTTTGTACTTGCAGGAGAGGTTGAGATCGCGCAGGTCGTATAGTCGGATGCGACTGTCGTTGGATGTAACGAGGATTTTGTCGTCGTTCGGCATCGGCTCTATACCGCTTATTTTGCGACCCGTTGAGTTTTTGCCCCTGAAAATTAAAAATGTAGTCGAAGTTAATACGACACTGGAATTTCGTCTGAAAGTAATATTTAGTGTTATGTGATTTAGGTTTAGGATATTTATTTCTCAAAAGACAACAAATTCACTAGTTTGTTATAATTAACTGTCTCCGTGGCCGAACGGTTACCATACTGGACTGCCACGTAGACGACCCGGGTTAGACCCACAGGTTGGGAGAAATATTTGTGCGTTTAGGTGTAATTTGTGGTTGTCTATGTGTGTGTCCTTGGCATCCGCGATACAAGGTTTACGAACATATTTCTTCCCGCATAATCAAATAATTGAACTTCGCCAAAAATACAACGTACCATAAAACCTAAACAGAGAGTACGTGTACACAAAATATTCTAATGAAAGTGTAATGTACTACAAATAAAGTTTTGCGTTTTGGTATAATAAGAAAAAACAAGGCACTAATCACGTATAACATATAAATTGCTATGGCGTGACTTAAATACCTTATGACGTGGAATTTTATCTTATTTTGAACCGACTTTAAAAAGGAGGAGTTCTCAATTCTACTGTGTTTTTGTGAACCATTTGTGAACCTATTTTGATGATCAGTATTTGGTCCCATTAAAATTTGAAGAAAATATTCGAACTCTAAGGGTTAATTAAGGGATGAATCCGGTAACGTGTACTTTCCGGTAACCGATTTCAATAAAACTTGGCAAATTGACGTAATTCCACGAACTTCTGAGGTTGGTTTTTTTAATAAAAAGCTATAATTATTGAATAATTGGAATGACTATTAAAAGAGCACTTTTTTAAAAGCATGGTTATAAGCGATACATGTCTCACCTCGTAGATCGTACGTCGATCTGCGTATGATACTTCAGCTGATCTGTGGTGTAAAAGATGCAACGGCCATCGTAGGTGCCGACAACGGCGAACTTGCCGTTTTGGCAGAAATTGGCCGCCGTTATCAGCTTCGTCTTGCCGTCTACTTCGTTCCATACAGCCACCTGAATTGATAGCAGATTGTTGAGCAAGGACCTTCAACATGTATACGCGCGTATGAACAACAAATAAACACTATGAAATCTTTATAATGATTGGTCAAAGTTTCTAATTTAAAAAGATGTAACAAATTCTGGACTGCTAATATAATTTAAACTTTACCCAGTCGTTATATCGTTGAAAGTCCTTCGCTAACGTGCGGCCATCTTGCGGCCAATAACTGTACTATGACGAACGAATAGAAAGTAGTATCTTCTCGACAACAGATGTCTTCTTTAACGCACACGTCGCATAATCAACTTTATTTCGATCAATTAAGTTTAAAATGAACAAAACACTCGTGAAGCATTTTTTCGTTAAGGTTTTGTTCGCTACTAGCGTGGAAACTTCGACAATTTTACCTAGTTCTCCAAAAGACAAAACTCGACCACATTGCATTGGGATAATTTTACAGTTAACAAATGAGTTCAATGAACAGAAACTGCAAAATTTATGAAAATAAGATACAGATGATATGAAATACAACCACGGGTAAATCATTTTTGCACTCCAAAACTGCACAGTAAGGCATTTTTCTAGGATTTTAGAGAACTTGCACGAAAGAATTACACAACCATAACAAACAAAGCGAAATATTCCGTGCTCGTAAGCCGGGTACCCCTCCCGCGCGCCTACCCTCTCTTCTTGCGTAGTACACGTGACACAAATCTCACAATCGGTTTCATTTTAAACTAAATAAGTTCTATTTTGTTTGTTGTAAATGTTGGACACTACATTACATACACTTATCACTTTATATATGTATCAAAATCATTATTTAACTATTCTATACATACAGGGTTACAGGAAAAGTCGTGCTAGATCCGTTAAGGGCGTGGA